CGCTACCAATGCCGTCGAAGGAGGCGAAGACGGTTGGTACCATCGCAGGGAGCAGGCTGATGTCGCGCCTAACCCGGAAGCACGCGAGGAGGTGTGGGTGGGCTGGCGACGCCCGAGTAAGGTACGGCGACTCTAGCGCCTCACCCAGCCGCTTCCGCCTCTCCTTCAGCGCTTGGTTGTAAGGCACACATGGCTCCCATTTGAAATCGGCGACCGCTCCACGTGTCCGCCAGGGGTCCCGATTTCGGGGCAAGGTTGCCCACACCATGCTGATTCGCCTCACCTGACCAAGTGTTTCACACATGTTGTGTAGGATGCTAGAGCATGAAGCCCCTACAAGCACCCACCAAAGCTTGCAGACGTTCCGCTCGACAGATATTTTATGGTAACCAAGTTTGCCACCTCATGTCTGATGAAGTAATGCTCTACATACGGCGTCATGTAGTACTCCATGTCCTCTACGATGTACGCCAGGATTTGACGGTTTACGCGGAAGAGGTCTCTAAACTCCGTCTCCCCCATGCCCTGCAGGTCCTCGAGCAACAGGTAGTATCGGAGCCGTCGCAGGTTTGACCGCCGAGTACGCTCGGCCGTCCTGTCGGTGCTCTGTAAGTAGGAGTCTACGAATGCCTCATCTATGAAGACATTATGAAAGAATGAGGAATGAAAAAGAGAGGGTTGCACTAGCAGCAGTTGGCATACATATAGGAAACCCTAATTGGGTTGTACTCACTATAGAGTACCCCACTGCAGGCTACACAATTACAACATTCTGACAGACATTGGCTTGAAGCAGGCCGCCAACCGCCTTGGCTGCGACGTCCATGAAGATGGTGTAGTAGAATGTTATCCATGCGACTAGGAACACATGAGGAATGGCACAGCACGAGGCTTTGCCATGGTGGCGACAACTTCTAGAGTAGATGTGTGGTAAAGGGTGGGAGGCCGTGCTCATTTGTACTTGTGTGTCCGATGTTGACATGTATGTGTTTGACCTATGTATGTGCGCTGTCTGCGTAGAAGGCGAGGCGTTCCCTATCTCGTCGTGGTGCCGGTCGCTGCTGGTCCATGTCTCTCTGTTCGACGAGGAGGGCGGCGCATAGGGCTGCCTCTGAGATAACCCCCTGCTGTTGGAGAAGCGCCATGTAGGGCCGCCATTCTGGGCCGAGCCCTTGAAGCACGATGTTCACGAAGATTTCTTCTAAAATGTTGTTTCCCAGTTTCGCGATTTGATCGCGTAAGCTCAGACAGCGATTAATGTAGCTATTGGCCTTCTCCCCTAGGGCCATTTTAGTCTCCAAGCGGCTCGATGAAACCGAGTCCTTCGTTTGATACACGCCGTTCAGATGTCGCCAAGCGTCGAGGGCTGGAGCAGAGGTTTTCTTATACGATTGAATGCTCAGCTGCTCCGCCGGCGACATGTTCCGCAGTAGAATGCCGTACGTCATCAGTGACTCGTTGTAGTATTGAACCCTGGCGTCAGCGGTTGTCTTCAGCAGGTCCTGAGAAGCTCCTGTCAAAATAATGAAACATCTGCGCGTTTTGCAGCATCTCCAGCTCGAAGTTCCACGAATAGAAGTTTTTGCTGTCAAAAACACACAATTGTCTTTATTTTTTATATGCCCAGAAACCTTGATTGTGTAGAGAGAATTGCTTCTTCGCTGGGACGGGGAGTCTTGGGATTTGAGCCATTTGTATCGAGGGAGAAGGTGTGTGGGGCCGTGTTATGGCCATTCGTGCACGAGAGGGTTGGGAAGAAGTTCCCGCGTCACCATTCCGCAATGTTTGGTGTCCTTGCTCAAAGCTGGTGAGTCGCTGAAGCAGTTGTGCGAAGACGGCGCTTTACTATTCGTAACACACCCAACAATAGCACCTCGCGACACTCGCCTCGACCCTGTTCCCAACACTATGACTCTCGCGCCCAAACACCCGGCCCGGTTTATCAGCGACCCACTCATACGCCTCGACATTTCCCAGACTCTGCATCAGGCCTGTAAGGCACCCTCTCTCAAGCGCGTTACCATTGTCGAAATGCTTTCTGTATATAACAATTCGTTCATGACTGCGCTTATTGTATTATTTGCTTCAATATTGCAGATCTCTCTTGATCATGCAATTGCACTCGTAACACTTGGTATTGAGAGGTGTTGGGCGGAAAAATAGCCTTAGAATCTAGCCACCGGCATGCCCCACACACCCCGCACCACACGCCCCACACACCCCACACCACACGCCCCACACGCCCCACACACCCCACACGCCCCACACGCCCTGCGCTGCATCCACCTGCTCCCCTTCCAGCTGCTTCCATTTCTCTCCTCGTGCAGAAAGGTCAACGCACGCCCCTCCTTCCGCCACTCGTCCTTACGGGCAACCTTCTCTGCCCGCTCGTCCTCATCATCCCATCCCATCCACTCCCCTCCCTCCTCGCCCCAGTCCCCCCCACCATCGCCTTGCAACCACTCCTCCCCATCAGGGCCCTCGTTATCAGACCAATTTGGTCTGAATTTCTGATTCTTAGACGTGATTTTTTGCATTCATCTGAGTTCTAAGAAATTTCGATATTGTTCATCCGAACCCCAAGACAAATGCTTTACGTTCGTATGATTTTCCAGACCATGTAGAACACTTCGTCTAACTTTACAGATATCGCGCTCGCTTTCGTCTGAAACCGACAATTTAGGCCACTAGGCCATTGGACCACTAGGCTACCACTAGGCCATGTACCTGCACGCGCATTCAATGTGCGTGTCTTGTAGCAGCCTCGCTGTCACGAACCTGCGGCAATTGCTGCCATGAGACTGTCGTGTAGCTGGCTATCGGTGCTGACGCCAGCCACAGCCACAGCAACGCGCTGTCACATTGTGCCTGCGCACTTTCCTTTCCTACACGTTACGTAACCTTGGACGATGGTTGTTCTTCCCCGTCTCCCTTCACGCATCGCCTTTTGATTCACACTGCTCGATGAGGGGGTTTCATGCAGCTGAGCGAGGCTTGTTAAACAGGCTCGTTGAGGAGCTCGTCCACCTCACCTCTCTCACCCAGCCGAGCATGGTCCCTCATCACAATTTCTATCATCTCGTTTAGGCTATGGCCGACCCCATCGCTGCTGCGCCAAGGTTTTCAGCGTTAGACTTCCTAACGCGGGCCAAGCCAATCGCCCCTGTCGCCCCACCGATTGCTTCAACATCTGTTGCGGTACCCTCGCCTATTGATGATGCGCCATTGTTGGATAATGACGATAACTCTCTGCCATCGACCGCAACACCAACTACGCCAGTATCTACCTGCATGCCGTCATGCGGTGCCGATAATAACGTCTGCGTAGTATCTGACACTACCAAATCCGCTCTCAGGGCTAGCCTCGTCTTGCCCGTCAGGTCATCACAAGGGCGGTACAAGCAGCGTGTGCTGAACTTCGCGCGTCCGGGCGGTCCGACTCAGCCGGCACCGTCTGTGGAGACGCGACCCGTGGCCCCCGAACCTGCAGCTAAGGACTTCGAGGACCCCAAAGGCAAGCAGTTGTCGGTTGAAGAGCTTCAGCTGAAGTGCAAGGAGCAGTGGCAGCAGTACTTTCCATGGCTCTTCATCTCCGAAACCAAGGATGGCCGACCCTGCATGCAGCATCTGCATGGTGTTCGCCGACCCCCACTCTAAGTACGGGCGCTACGGTGTTGGTGGCATCGACATTCAGAAGCAGACGATGCGCAAGCATCATCACAGCCTGAAGCATGAGGCGGCGGTCCGGGAGAAGGAACAACGCGACGACGCGAAGAAAGGACAGAAGTCCATCGTTGACTTCCACCAAGGGGACGAGGATGTCAAGCGCCTTGCACGTTTTGTTGTCTATTGTCTTATTCATTTGCAAGTCTGACGCGCCCATTGTGCTCTTTGTGTCACTCGTCCAGTTCATGGCTGAGCAGGGGACTCCGGATATGCCCCTTAAGGAGAACGGGACATATTACAGCGAGTAAGTGTCCCGTATATTGAATTCTGTGGTTTGCTTTCGAAGAGATGCCAATGATAGCAATCCCGCCTTATTTCAGGTACGGCTTTGCACAACTGGTGGAGATCATGGTGTGCTACCTGAAATCCCGCCAGCTGAAACACATCCGCGCGAGTCCATACCTTGGAATCCAGCTGGACGAGAGTACCGACCGGAGGAAGGGCAAACACATGATCGTCTACATGACGTTCATGCGTGACAACGCTCCCGTCACTGAGTTTTACGCCTTGCTGACTGTGGACCACTGTGACGCCGCTTCTCTCATGACCGTTCTCCTTACCCATTTGGAGTGTAGCGGCATCGATCTCCAGCACATATCCGGTATGAGCACTGTTGGAGCCAGTGTCATGATCGGCCAGCACAACGGAGTGACCGCGCGCCTGAAAGAGAAGGTTCCACATATCGTGTCATCACACTGCATCGCGCACAGGCAAGTGGGACTTTCCGTTGTATGCTGGCTTCTTGCTTTGTGTTTTTCTGTTTACGCTCTCGTGATTTCTAACTCTCCGTCTTTATGCGTTGCAGGGAGGCCTTGGCGGCCAAAGATGCCGCGATCAAACACACGGACCTCAACATCGTGGACAAGGTGGTTCACTACGTTGCTGAAAATCTTGGTCGGTCTTCGTTCGTCCACTCACGTTTTCTTGAGCTGCAGGAGGTCATCTACGAGACCAACCTCGAAGTTCAAGGGATCAAGGACGTTCGGTGGTTGTCTCGCGGTCAAGCTATCGGCCGCTTGGTGAACGTGTTTCCGGCGGCAGTGTTTGTCTTGCACGAGTTCGACAAGATGTACAAGGTCATCACTAGCTACAAGTTTCAGTTCATGTTGTTTCTCCTTGCGGGTGTCCTGAAGGAGCTCAACAATCTGAGCTTGAAGTTTCAGCGCCGCCAGGTGAGCGTTTAATATGCAAGACACTCGTATTACTTTAACTACCCGTCAAGTACTAACCTATTTTATGCTTCATTTCAGGTTCACGCGACCCATGTGCTGCTGATGGTTCACAACACTACCTTGCTACTGCGCGCTTGTTACCTCGACAGCGACGACGACTCTTTCGGCCAGGGCGGAGATGCTTTGGGCCCTTTTCTCAAGAAGCACGCGTCCCGGGAGTCTCGGGAGGTGAAGGTGGCTGGCAAGGCGGCCGACGGTACATCAAGCGACCTCACCTACACACTCCACGAGGACCCCATCAAGGGGCAGAAGGGCGGTGCGGACCACGGTGCGTGTTTGGAGTTGGCGCGCGCGTTCGTGACAACGTTGATCGGGCTGGCTGGATTTCCGACTCAAGGACCTCGCCAACCTTGACGGGGCGAAGCTGTTCAAGCAAGGGTCATATCCCAAGAACCAGGCGAAGCGCGAGAGGAAACTTGGGCAGTGGCTGCAGTCTCTGCGCAACATGTTTAAGAAGAAGCCTGAAGACCCTGCGCAAATAGTTAGAGCTAAACCCCAAATCATTACTTTGTAATAGGTTCAGACGGGGCTTTTTTTTTCGTCTGATGGATCAGACTGTGTAGACTTTTTCGTCTTACCGTAAGTGTAAGACAACAGAAACTTGGTCATCTTGGCGTCAGAAATATATATATATATATATACTCTCAGACAGGCCCAAAACCTAGCGAGGGCCCTGCTCCCCATCTGCCTCGTCCGTTGCACTTCTCAACTCACTGCTCTTTGCCCCCCCTCCCCCCTCCCTCTCGTTTGCTTCCAAATCCTCATCTCTCACCACTCCCTTCCATGCTCGCACCATTCACTGTCTCCCACTCTCCTCTTTGGTCGTCCCATCTCATCTCCCCGCCTCCCAGCCCCATCTTCCAGCACCCCTCCACCACACCCCTCTCCCCCCCTTCCTGCTCGTCAATTACTCACCTCAGGCAGGTGGCGCCAGCACCCTTTCTGCCCTTCCTCATCCCTCACTGCGCGCTGCTCCCCCATTCCCTCATCTGCTGAAACCCCTTCCGCCTCTCCATCACCCCCTCTCTCTTCTTCCTCCCCCTGTGTGTTCCACTCTTTCTCCTCTTCGTCCATCTCACGCTCTTCCTCCTCCTCCCTCTCACTCCCACCACCGACAGCCTTGTCCTTTTCCTTCCTCGCATGAAACTCACCTACATTCTCACTCCTATCATCCTCCCACACTGCATGTCCATCCTCCAATCTACCTACTCCCAGAGAGCAAGGGCAAAGGACAGAGCTCCGTTTGGGCCCTAGAATCCACCAGATCTACCCATTTTGGGCCTCCTCTCTCCCACCCGCATTATCTTCCACTGCTCACTGCTGCCGCCCTGCCAGCTGCCGCCCAGCCTGCTGCCGCCCAAGCCTGTGGGAGGACCACGGCAATGCCTCCCCTCCCTCACACACACGTGGTGGCAGTGGCAGGGCGGGGTAGCACACAGGCAGCAGACGCACGGAATGCACAGCTGCTAGCTGGGGAAGGAGGGTGGATTGGAAACGAGAGGGGGTGACGAGGGTTGAAGCAAGGGGGTTTTGAAGAAGGGGCAGGGGGGACGGGCACATAAGCAGCAGGCATGCGGAGTGCAGTGCTGCTAGCAGGAGAGGTGAAAATTAGGAACGCATGGCATGGGCAGGGAGTCGGGTCAAACTCTTGCCAAATCAGCATTGACTCGCATTGACTCGCATTGACTCGCGTTGACTCGCGTTGACTCGCATTGACTCGCATTGTCTTGCTCCTTAAGGTGCCTCAAAACAGTCAGCATTGGCCTTCCAAACCACGGAACTGGAAGTGAGGAACCTGACTCATCGTGCAAGCTGGTCACAACTCACTCACAACCCACCTTGAATGGGTGCAGAATCTGAAAAGCAGCTGGCTTGCTTTCAAGCCGACTTAACATTCACGGTAAAATTGGTATTTGTCTTTAGCTCGTTTTCTTTGCCATAACAAGCAGCAATTTGACTCACCTCACCTTGTGCTCAGGTGTGTAATCCATGACACACGCACACCACGGCCGGGTTATCAACGAACACCACGGCCGGGTTATCAATGCACACACGCTCAAACGCCACACGCTCCTTGCACCGCCACCATCATCCACTCTCAACCGTTTCTCAGACTCCCACCCATCTCTCACCCATCATCACCACCCATCTCCACTCCTCTGCACCCGCTCCTCCTGCCAGCTCTCCTCCACTCACCTCGCCTCCTCCCGCCCTCACCCCCCCTGCTGCTTCCCCTCGCCCCTCTCTCCTGTCCAACCCTGCCCCCACCCACTTTCACCCACCCGCCTTCCACCATCCCTACACCACTGCCTCCTCCCCATGTGGCTAGGTGGACTCAAAAACTGCTCCCAGCCATTCCTTCCCGTCCCTGCGCCAGTGTATCGTCCCTGCGCCAGTGTATCGTCCCTGCGCCAGTGTATCGTCCCTGCGCCAGTGTATCGTCCCTGCGCCAGTGTATCGTCCCTGCGCCAGTGTATCGTCCCTGCGCCAGTGTATCGTCCCTGCGCCAGTGTATCGTCCCTGCGCCAGTGTATCGTCCCTGCGCCAGTGTATCATCCCTGCGCCAGTGTATCGTCCCCCCTCTCCTAACACTCGACACCTCATGGGGTGCTGGCGGGGCATGGGGTGCTGGCGGGGCATGGGGTGCTGACGGGGCATGGGGTGCTGGCGAGGCATGGGGTGCTGGCGGGGCATGGGGTGCTGGCGGGGCATGGGGTGCTGGCGGGGCATGGGGTGCTGGCGAGGCATGGGGTGCTGGCGGGGCATGGGGCAGTGGGAGGAGGAATAAGAGGGATAACAGCAGCAGCAACAGCTTCAGCAGGAGGGGGCGGGGGAGGAGGGGCAAGGGAGAGCAGCAGCATGTGAGAGCAAGCGACCGTCTGCACTCGCACCAGAATGCCACCCCCCCCACCGCCCCTGCTCTCACCCCTTTGAGCGGGCAGCCCAGCAGGAACGCGGCAGATGGGCAGATCACGTGAGGTGGACTGTGGTGGACGGAGGGAGCGACTAGCGACCGACACGACACGTGGAACGGCAAGGCAACAAGAAGATCAGCACAGTATCGTATCGTATCGTGATACTACTGCTGTTTTTCAGTCGACTCAAAACAGCACAGTATCGTATAGTGATACTGCTGCTGCGAGCAAACGAGGACAAGATTGCACCGCCTGTGCTGCACATGCCATGCCACATAGTAAAGGGAAGAGCGGCGGAGGAGAGCTGTGGGGATGGCAGGAAAAGCAGCACCATGGGGAATTGGGGATGCTGAGGGGAGACGACAGCAGTGCTACCTTAGGCGGGTGGTACCTAAGGCGGGTGCTACCTGACAGCAGCGGCGGGTGCGGCGGGCAGCAGCAGAGCGTTGCGGGGAGACATGGCCGCCCCCACTGACGCGCCCCGGGGGATGGGGCACGGCGGTCGTATGCTGGGGGTGGAGGGTGGGGTGCATGGTCACAAACACATGCGTTGCCGCCCACTCGCCACGTGGCGCGCACATACCATGATACCCCACCTCTCCACGTCACTCTTCCCACACCTGGCGCTGCCATGCTGGCAGGTGGCTGGCAGCGCGGCGGCTGAGCCCCCAGCCAGTGAGGCCCACCTCGCGCTCCCTTCGCGCTCCCCTGCGCCCCACCTGGCCCTCCCCTCGTCCCAACTCGCGCGCCCCTCTTCCCACCCCGCCCTGTCATTGACCAAGTCGCCCTCCCCTCCCCGCCCCCTCCCACCATCATAGTCCCCACCTCTTTTTCACGTAAATTTTGCTGCGCTGCGATGTTATAAGTCACACGATATATATGTATATATATCTGGATGCGAATACACTAGGTAAGATGTACAACATCTGCAATCTCAACGATGGTAGGAAGCGGGACGGGAGTGAGCGTGGTAGTGAGTGCGGGATGCTTGCGCTTGCGGAACGGGAGGGAGTGCCACACGCTACGAGGTGAGCGACAGGATTCAGTGAGCGCGGGACGAGAGCTGAGAGCGACGAGAGGAATTGGCGGGCGGGAGTTAGTGTGCAACGGGGGCGTGTGCGGAACGGGAGTGAGTGTCACGTGTGAGTGTGTGAGCGGCGGGATCGATGAGGCGACTGCCCTGTGTGAGCGGCGGGTTTGAGCGAGCGACGGGAGGGAGTGCGTGACGGGATTGAGTGAGCGATGCGAATGAGGGACGGAAGTCGAGCGGCAGAGAGGGACGAGAGGGACGGGAGGGGAAGCGAAACACGAGAGGAAAATGCGGGACGGAAGCGACGCGAAGGACGGGAGTGACGGGAGCGGCGGGAAGGACGGGAAGGGACTGAGAGCAACGGGAGGGACGAGAGCGACTGAAGAGGCGGGAGCGACAGGAGGGGCGGGTGCGACGGGAACAACGGATGCTACGGGAACAACGGATGCTACGAGAGCTACTGGAGCCTCTAGTGAGATGATTCTGCGCATACTGCATTCTAGCGAATGGATCGTGAGTGGCGTGAGGCATGGGGGTGACCTATATCGTGTTTTCTAACAAAAGATAAGCTAAGACCTTTGTGATGAGAGTAAAAATCGGCATAATGACGAAACGATGGGCTATCTAGTCTATTACGCAACGAGTCTAGAACGGTAGCTTGGACTTTCAAGTTTCGGAAAGTGGGAACAGTGGAAGCAGTTATTGTTTTCTCTGGCGATGGTCGTCGCTGTTTCGTCTGCTGTGCTGTTGGCCAATCACCTTCTTGCGCCTCAATCACTTCCCCATGAGTCGCGAGAGAGCAGCATCCCAAATCGGGTTACCTTGTGTTTTGACGACGACAATTTCAAGAATCTTGAACTTGGAAATTGCCATTCTAGACGTGGGCTTGAAGGGAGCTGGAAATTGCCACCCAGACCATCGCATATGGATTTGAAGTCCACCCTCCACGTGGACGAGGATTTCGTGCTGAACACCCTGCGCATAATTCCCGCCTCACCCGCCACGTGGCCCCACTCCCCGTCACTCTCTTTTGCGCTTGACTGGCTTCGGTGTAAGAACATTGCTGGTGACAAAACACGTTGTAGAATGATTAGGTATGGTTGGATACGGTTTGATGAGCAAAATTGAACAGATCAGACCAGCCAGCCAGATACTCGTGGGTTCTGAAGGTTGGGAAAGAAGGTAGGGTGAAACGAAGACAGTCGCGAGGCATTTACAACCAACAACTTCAACGAGAAAATTCGGGTAGGCGACGAAGGCGATTGCGGTCCTGCATTCAGCAACACATACGTGACTATCGTTCGGCAGGATTCTCGGTCCCGTATCCCTCGGTGCGCGCTGTAAATTCGTAGATGGTCAAGTGACTGTGGGTCATGGCCTGGGGCGAGAGGCGAAAGGGCTAGGCTTTCAAGTACTCGCTGCACGGGGCACATCTCCCGGGAAGTGCAGACAAGTACACGATGCGCGTTCAGCCAGTACGCAGTCCCCACGTGGAAGGTGTAGTTGGATCGCAGTTATCGTCGCATTGTCCGTCCGCCGTGCGTACAATCTGCACCAAGTCCCCTCCCCACAGATCCGCGCCGTGCGAGCCGGGCTTGCTTTGCTACTCCTTTAGCGAGCTCGAACTCAGAACCCACCCCACCACATTTGAAGGGACAGGCTATACATCATTTCTTATGTACTGCTCCATCATATTTGACATTCACCCTTAGAGAATTTCTCTGCTCACCTTCGCAAGGCAGCGAGCAGCCATGGCTGACGAGTATCAGGACGATGGTCCCCAATCGTCGGGGACGTACTCGAGAGACGCTGGAAGTATCCACAAGGGCGGATACATTGTAATTTCGGGACGGCCTTGCAAGGTACTATCATAGGATCTGGTGTTTGCTCGCTCCGTCGCTTGCCCCTTCATTGCCTACGGCAAAAGGACTCAGGGATTTGTTTTTTGGGTGGAATCCTCAGGTGGTGGAGACTTCTACCACTGTTACGGCGAAAGGTAACAAAAAGTGCAATTTTGTCGGAACTGATTTATTCACCAAGGAGCGGTGGGAAGAGATGGCGCCGTACTCGCACAGTGTCGAGGTAAGTCGATCTGCATCATACTATGTTGGGAGTTGGGAGGGTGGGCGGTAATAGCAGTCTTCGTTCGTCGCGCCTGTGTTTTTAATCGATGGTTTTTGTATTCACAGGTTCCAAAAGTAAACTTCAGCGACTATACAGTCCTAGACATTACATCTGAAGGCATGGTAAGTGTCGATAGTTTGTGTCATGCTGTTCCTCAGCTTGTGGCATTGGCGTCCTGACTCGTGGCGACATGTTGCCTCAGCTATCTCTTATGAGCCATACGGGTGACACGAGGGACGATCTTCCCCTCCCCCCGGACGAGGCTCTCAGCTCACAGGTACGAATGATTCGGGATTATTTGACTGGAAGCCGAATTTCTCGTTTGCATACCGTGTCTATCATGGCGTGCCAACTAATATATCTTAATGTCTTGCAGATCAAGGCCTGGCATGGAGAAGACAAGGAGCAGTCTGTTTCTGTATTGAGCGCTATGGGTCAGGAGCAGGTTTGCGCTGTCAAGCAGATCAATGCCTGATATAATCCATGTTGAATGCGGTACCATAACACTGTTTTTAGATGGCAGTAGTCTTACCTTTGTGTAAGCTCACCATAATGTGAGATGAAGGTATGTTGAACCTGTTAGTACAGCACATGACATGAGCATTGATCTCCTCAGTGGAGAATACCCTTATACAGGTCCTCAGATTCGTTTGGGGGTACACTGAGGCCTCAGGGCAGTTTTTAGGAAATCAGAAATTGCCCTAAATTGTCAGGGCTGCACAGGGTGAGGTATCCTGAAATGTCAGTGCTATATTTTAACAGTATCCTGGCAGCTCAGTGAAAGAATACTATTTTTGGGTTGCGAAGCAACCTATTATGATCGTTATGTACAATTTTTTTTTCATCCTCTTTACTTCAAAAAATGAAGGATGAAAAAAATCTACCGGTAGTGAACAGAAGCTAAGTGAAGTGACTGACTACTATGTATTTGCCACGTCAATTTACCACGTGCCGAACTATATTCCTTCTCATTTCCTAGTTTGCTTTGACTGAACCTATATTTCACGAGTTGCCAAAATGATGTACTGTGAATGCGTAACTGTTTATTCCGTGATGAATATGCCGGATGATGTTATGCGTAGATGAAGTAAATGCAAAATGCACAATTACAATGCATGTGCTACTGTGGTAGTTAAATGTGTTGGGCTGAAGTGCCCTTAGGATCTTTGTAGAGTTTAAAGTCTGAGTAGAGTTGCAATAGCAGAAGCCAGGGCCTCAGAAGTCAGCGAAAAAAGGCTGATTTAGGGTCTGGACCAGGGCTTTTTTTTGGATTTTCACTACTCGGATTTCCAGAGCTGTTTTCTAGAGAAATCTGAAATTCAGGGTTCATTATGAGCGTTACTATGATTTGTCAGAGAAAACTTAACTTCTGAAAAAACTACTCTGGGCACCCAGTGAACCTATTTTTCCAACTCTGGGATTCTTCTCAAGTATTGAACCCAGGCCCTCTGCACTCCTACCAGAAAATTAAGCGTTGTGCTACGCGCTCTCCTAAACAATATATAATACTTGAGTTCACACTCAATATATATATGCGTTAAGCCTGCCTATACAATTGGGGGGGGGGGGTTGTGACACGGTGAAATGCCTATACCCTGTACAGAGAAAATTATATCGGTCACAAATATACACTGGTCCCTCAGAGTAGCTAAAATCAGAACCCTGACAAATCAGAGAAAACTTATCCTCCAAAAAATTACCCAGACACGTCAGAGTGACCCCCTAAAAACCACTCTGATTTTCAGAGAAACAGAGTAATTTACTCTGATAAAAAAACCCCTGGTCTGGACGCTGATTTCCCAGACTTGTGGCTGATGTGTTGACTGATAATTCAGTTTTTTTTTTTTTTAAGTGTTGGCTGATTGTTCACGTTTTTTTTTAATGTATTGGCTGATTTTCCAGCGTTTTTTTTACAAGTGTTGGCTGATTTATAACGAGAGTGTAGGCTGAACTCTCACGCTATTACAGATTCGTGCCAGAGCCGTGAGTTTCGGCTGTCCAGGTACATCCTGTCAGAATACTGCTATAACTGCATGTAGTTCTAGTGTAGTGTAGTTCTATATTTGTACTTTCTTGGTGGTGCACCCTTTCCTGAACTATATCTTGGACCTCTTTCTCATATTGAACCATTCATTTCTCCTCTCTCTTGGCACAAACCACTCGACTTCTCCTTGGCCTAGGCTACTAAGCCTAGGCCCCCACTTAACTCTCAACTACCTCTTAAGCTCGTTATTCAACATGGCATTAGAGCGAGTTACGTCCTGGCCTGTGGGCCCGCCTCACGCTTCCGCTACTATTTTTCCGGTCGCGCGCCTCGGGCGCGTGAAGATTTTCGTTCTGTCCCGCCCCCGGGTGGCGCGTAACGTTTTTTTCTGCCCGTCGCGGACCCACCCCTGGCGCCCGCGACGGTGCCTTGAGCCGTCGCGGACCCGCCCCTGGCGCCCACTACGGTTCCCTGAGCCGTCGCGGACCCGCCCCTGGCGCCCGCCACGGTTCCCTGAGCCGTCGCGGACCCGCCCCTAGCGCCCACGACGGTTCCCTGAGCCGTCACGGACCCGCCCCTGGCGCCCGCCACGGTTCCCTGAGCCGTTGCGGACCCGCCCCTGGCGCCTGCGACGGTTCC